CGGCCCCCCCCCCCACCCCTGCCGGTCCCTTGCTCCTAACCCCACAGTCCCTTTCAACCCCTATCCCTGCCAGTGCCCCTCGCATCCCAACTCGCAGCTCTCTGCCGGTGCCCTTCACCCCCAACCTGCAGCCCCCGCTAGCCCTGCCAACGCCCCTCACTCTTGACCCCCAAGTTCTGCCAGCGCTCCCTCACCCCTGGCCCTCAGCCCCTGCGCCCCACTCCCCACCCCCAGACCCCTGCTACACGGGCAGTGCTGGGAGAAACAAAACCAGCCCCCAATTTGCTCAGAGGCAAGTCAGGGCAGCTCAGTCCCTGGGGTTGGACCTGGGCTGCTCTGTACCCCGTCGCCCTCAGCCCAGGCCCAGGATAGACCCCCCTCCACAGTGGGAGGGATCACACCTCCCCCCGGTGCCCCCACTCACGGGCATTGCTGTCCGCCAGGCTGTTGAGGCTGCTGGAGATGTCACGGCGCCGGAAGAGGCAGACGACCTTGGCCTCCACATTGCCGTTGGCTGTCTGAGGGCAAGAGTGAAAGGCTGCCACAGCGCCCTGGGCACAGCTGCCCCCTGCATATCTCCCCAGCCCCCCCAGCCTTGGTCTGCAACCCCCCACATCCCCTCAGTCAAGCCCTCCTCTGCCCCCCACAGACCTGCCCCACAACCCCCTCATCTCCCAAGGCAGGCCAGGCCCACCCCAGCCCCCAACCCAAACAAGACTCCCCCCATGCAACCCCCAGACAAGCCGAGCCCCCTCAGCCCTCTGCAGAACTGCCCCAGAGCAGGGCCTCAAAGTGGGGGAAGGGGCCTGGACGCCAGCCCCTGGGGCATGGGAGGGGGCGCGACTCCATCCTCGCCGGGGTCCATCCCCAGGGCGGCACTGGAGCCTCTCACCTTGTTGAGCTCCTCGATGCGCCGGACGAGATAGGGGTTGCTAGAGGAGTTTTCGAAGTAGACGTAGTCTGGGGACGGGGAGGGGAGGAAAGGGAAGGGGGGGCTGTCAGGGGGGGCAAAAGCAGCGGGACCCCCAACCCAGGCCCAGCACCGACCCCTACAATCAGCCCCCCTGGGGCCTAGTGCCCCTGACTGCGGCCCCCGGGGTGATCCCCACCCCCGCGCCCAGGGGCGGAGTCTCTCTTGCTGCCCTCCCCCGCCCTGACCTGC